GTCCTGTGGCTGCTCCCAGCTGGGTCCCCAGTCCACCGGCTTCCCGCCTTGCCCATGACAGAGGCGTGTTAAGGCACAAGCAGAAGGACCAGGAAGCGGGGCGCGGGAGGAGTCAGTCCTCCCGTTCTGCACTTATTCAGTTGTAAGGTTATATCATTTAGAATGTAACCATGGCCCTGTTTAATGACCTGCTTGAACTCCTTCTGACCCTGGTGGTACCCCCTGGTGGAAGTCCGGACGAGGCCTTGAGGGGTTCGACTGGGTAGGGAGCCCTGGTGCACAGCAAAGGGTGCGAGTGGGGAGGCATGCCTGATTCCCTGGTTGGTGGCCAGAATGAAGAACTGGGTTCAGCTGGGAGGGCAGGCAATCTTAGGGCCTTGGTGCCCATCAAACCCTATCCCGTGGCAGTGGGGGGCCATGCAGGGGCGTGGCCAAGCCTGAGACCCCACACATGTGCGGCAGGTGCTGGTTTCATGGGGCCTCCGCTCTGCGACCGTGTATTGGTGTCAGGGTGACTGATGTCATCTGTGTGTGCTCAGGACAGCCCCACCCCAGTGAGGCACCTTGGGCCCAGGGGTGGGTCCAGGCTGCTCAGAAGCAGCCAGCTCCATGGGGCCTGAGGTGGCCTTACTTCCCGCGCCTGGGAGTCTCTCTCCTGACAGGCCCCGCCACCAGCTCTGTGCGTGTGGAGGTGACAGGTCCCTGCTCCAGCTCTGCTAGGGAGACACCCATCCATCCTTCCCCGAGCACTTCACGGACTTTCCTGCAGCCGTGGCCCCCGTATAAGCAGGGGCAGTCTCTCTTCACGGACACCCCTGCAGCCATGGCCCCCCGTATAAGCAGGGGCAGTCTCTCTTCAGGGCTCCCCAAGCCCTGTGTTCATCGCCCTTTTTTAAAGGTTTTGCCAGAGGGTGTGAGCGCTCACTGGTGAGAGAAAGAGACAGAGAGGGAGAGTGCAAAGTCACCCCACCCCAGCCCAGGGGGACAACCACACCACCGTCCGTCCTCTCAGTTCTCCTCTCGGGATTTTAGGTACTTGTGCCCATGAGCCTAGTGTGGGTCCAGGGCACATGCAGTTGGCCATGTGGGAGTCAGACACCTTAGTCACCACGTCCCCTGTTGACCCTCATTCATTGCCAGGAAACTGAGGGGTCCCAGAGGAGCCCAAGGCTACACTCCCATCTGGTGAAGGGGTGAGGGCCTTCGCCCTCCATAGGCAGCTGTCTCTGCCAGCATAGGAGCCCCTCAGGCAAGGGACGTGCTCCAGGGCAGGGAACCCTCAGGGCAGTGCCCTGACCCAGCCCGGCCCATCGTGGGCGGGGGAGGGGAGCTGCCTTTGGAGGAGGGGCCAGCTTCCCTGTAGGGCTTACATCTTCACACCACTTTGCAGGGGCCCTTCCCCATCTGGGGACAGAACCAACGCCTTCCTCCCCAGTAAGCGGGACTCTGCAGGAGAGCTCTGGGCTGGGAGGGCTGGTCATTATGTCCAAGCCGGAGCTTGATCTGGAGTGTGGACACCCAGTGAGTGTCCCGGTCAGCATACCTTTCCACCAAGGGGCAGGCCAGGTTCCAGGGCCGTGCCTGGTGGCCTTAGGGTGGGGTGCCCTGACCACAGGAGACACCTGAGCCTGGTGGCAGGGGGGCAAGTGGGGGCCCAGCAGTCAGGTGGGAGTTTCCTGAAGAGCTGACACCAGAGAGGGGCATGGAGAGTGAGTGGAGGAAGCAGGGGCAATGCCAGAGTGGTGGGGGATGTGGCGGGGCCACTTCGT